TGTTTGGAGTTTTAAAAGGGTTTCAAAACCTACTGGACTGCCAACCAATTTTTTTTTATTGTGGTAAAATATACATAATATAAAATTTACCCTGTTAACCTTTTTTAAGGGTATAATTCGGTGGCACTAACCACACTCACGTTGTCGTACGCTTAACAGCACTGTCCAGTGTGGTAACTTTTTCATCTTCCTAAGCAGAAATAAACCTGTGTTCTGAACCGCTGACCGCTCTGTGTTTTTCCTTTTGTTACTTCTCTGCATGAGCGTTTCTCTCCAGTCTTGTATATTCAATGTACCGGGGGTGGTTAAATTTGTAATTTGGTCTGTAAATGTAAGAAGGTGAGAACTAAATGAAAACTGCTTCAGAGGAGGAAACAGATATTACTTGGGCATTACTGGGAGATCGGGCCGGTGGCTCCAGGACACCCTTGCTGGGTGTAGTGAATTATCCATCTACTTCTTTGGGTTAGTTTTCTACTTCAGAGACTATGTGAATGGGTGTGTGTGTGTTTGTATTTGCATTGGGATGTGACGTAGTTGGACCTTAATATTAAGAACATATTTGCAGAGAGAGAAGTGTGTGTTTTGAATGTACGTTTGGGGACATGTGCTTAGCCCTCTTTTTTCCAGGAATCGCCTGTTCCATCCATAACAGTGACCCACGGGCAGCCAGTGATGTCTTCCCCTTGAGTGGCTCCATCAGAGCAGTAATTGATTGGCTCTCAGTGAACACCTGTTTCAAAGGGGCTGCTTTATCACTCTGTCTCCGAAAACAGGAATTGGTAATGGTGGGGAGGCTATTCTCTTCCCATTTTCACATTCCTGCCTTAGTCCATCACATGGAATTCTTAATCTCTTGGAAGTAGGATGGGAAAGTTTCTGGAGTTCTCTGGAGAGAGAGTTCCTCTCTCCAGCCTTCAGCGTCTCATCCCTGCGGACGCTGGGGGAGTGACTGACGTACTGGTGAGTTGGGGAAAAGGGCCATTGCGCACGTTCTGACTGGGCTCTTTTCCCTTCTTGTATGTGTGCAAATGGAGTGTGCTTCCCTCCCGGGGGCCTTCCCCACGGCCTGCGCACGTGATGAGCTCCCTGGCTCAGGCCTGCTCCCGCGATGGAAGAAACGCAGCTGCTTGAGGAGCTGCTGGTGACCAAGTGAGTTCAATTCAAGGGAAAGTGGTCGGAAACTTCATTTTGGCCCTCAGTCCCAGTCACATTCCCCAGTCATTTTACTGTGGCTATTTATCAACTGACTTAGGAATCAGAAGGGAGGAGGATGTGATAAATTGGCACCATAAAGTCCAAAATGACTGAGGCAGCCAATCATTTTGGGCTGGCCTCTTGAATGACAGATGTAAACTAGGGAACTGTGGCGTAAGTACCTTCCATCTGTCGTGTGGCTGGAAAGCACAGAAAATACATCTGGGAGAAAACAAAGCAGCTGTGTAGAGAGAAGCAGCGTCAAGCCATGGAGAGGGTCCCGATGGCTGCAGTCGCGGATGGGAGCCCAGCTGCATTAGACGGGCCTTGGGTTCCACGAAACCCCACTCAACCTCACACGGCCTCGCCTTTTTGCTGAGGCTAGCCCACGTTGCTTTTATAATTTTCCAAGAACACTGACCAACACACACTCTCTGAATTTCGTTATTCTCATCTGTACATGGTAGTGTGAATACTTGTCCTCTGTATCTTACTAAGAGAATAAAATGAGGTAATAGAGACAGAAAGAATCATAAACTTCCAAGAGGCCCTTTGATAATATCCCCGATAAATGGTTGTCCAGCCTTTTTCCTTGACAGGAAATCACTGTTTCTTGAGGCAATCTGCTCTCTTGTCAGAGTTCTCTAGTTGCTAGAAAATGGGCATATATGGAGTCAAAATTTTCTCCCTGGGAGCTCCATCTCATTTACCCTAATTCTATCCTCATGGGTCACACAGAATCAGTGCAGTCTCTCTTGCTCAGGGCAGCCCTCGAAGTTGATGAAAATAGCTATGGAGTTCTCATGGCAGCATTTCCTCCTCTAGCCTGAGTGTTCTTTGGTTGTTTAAGTGTGTGTCACGATTTCTCTGCTTCAGAGTGCATAGAATGACCACGGAAGTAAGTTTGGACACACAAGTTAGAGAAAAATTTTGATTGTCTTCACATTGCAAAATAGAAATAATAAAGACTTAGTTAATAAGGCAGTCAGCACATTCACATTTTTACGGTGTTTCCAAATTTCCAAAAGATATTTTCAGGATTCAGGAAAAAAATGAGGAATTCCCAGTTCTCAAATCAAAAGTTATTTTATATTTTTACAATACTTACGTGGTTTTAAATAACGATGAGCGATCAAAGTATTATATTTTGACAGAGTTATACTAAATGTTTCAGAGGTTTTCTATAAACAAAAAGACATAATAAATACATGTTACAGGAGCATATATTTCAATTACTTGTAAACATGATCTCTACTTGATAACAGAAAAAAATTAAAGACAGAGAAAATGTACATCAAACCCTAAATAAAACTGATTAAAAAATTAAAAGGCATTAAAACACATTAAAAATGATCACTCTTAAAATATGCAAAACATGAATTGCCCTGATAGTCGATCTTTGCTTATAACAAATATTGTAGATGTAGAAACATTTCTTTCATTTTGCCTTGATATTTGTTAAGCATGCATCCAAAGGCATTCTGAAATTGAGCATTATAGTGCACACAGCTTCATATAAGTGCCTTATTTAATTTTATTTGGTGTACTTGCCTTAGTTTTGAAAATTGATATTGCTTTTGAGAGTTCAGATTTTAGGTTAGCTTCTGATTTCACGTTGGAATGTTCTATGACAATTCATGTGTTCTTTGCACTTTTTCTATTCAAGTGTTTACACAGAGGGCTTCTGGGTGTAGCCAGCTTGCAGCAGCACCGGTCTTCCCCGTCCTCCCTCTTGTAACCAAAGCCCCGGGCGTAATTCAGCCAACGCATAGGAGACTCCGGAGGCTGAAACGTGGAAGGCGGACTATCTAGGCACCTGGGGACCTGTGTTCCCTTTTCTAAGTTTTTATTTTTTTAAGTAGTCATTATTCAAAAAATGATCTTTGTAGTAACATGTAATAGGTTCACAATTTTTAAAATGAATTAAACACAAATTTAAAATCTGTTTTAATTCTTAATACAGTAAATATGGACATATATATCCCACACAAACAAAATCTCTTTAAAGTCCTCGATCATTTTTAAGACTATTAAGAGAGCTGGAGGCCAAAAAGTTTAAAAACTCTATGATATCTTGCACTATTTGCTTACTGATTGTATATATGTGTGGATAGGAATAGATTTGAATATAACTGTATTCATAGAATTTGTAAGGCATGATGTCTAACCATAACTTAATTTTTTACCTTCGGAATATGTGGTTCACTTTCTCTCTGATGACATTAAAGCCACATGGAGCGTTGTTCTAATATAAGGTGACAAATCACACTTCAACTTCACACATAAAGCCAAATATTGTTTCAAATTTAATTGGATTTGAAGACAGTGGGATGCTATGAGGCTTTATCACAGCTACTATTTTTTAATAGATTATTTTTAGGGCAGTTTTAAGTTTACAGCAAAACTAAGCAAAAAGTAGGGTTCCCACATATCCCCTGACCCCGCATGTGCACAGCCTCGCCAGCTATCAACATCCGAGCACCAAAGTGGTCCATTCGTTCCAACTGATGAACCTCACTGACAGATCAGTATCACTCAGAGTCTATCCATCCCTCCTCCCCCAACCCTTGGCAACCGCAGTTCTTCTTACTGCCTCCATTGCTTTACCGTTTTCAGAACGTAGTTGGAATCATACAGTGTGTAACCTTTTCAGATGATCTCAGCTTCTTTTTAAGTACATTTGATGAATTTTAGTGAAAAAGTCAGGTCCAACTTAATAAGTCTTTTTGCACGTTTATTTACTTTCCTCTATAATAAAATCACACAGACTTGTCTTTGTTGCTTATCTTGACGCTCTCCCGACAGTTAGCTACCAGGGGCCAGGAACTCCACGGAATCACAGTGCCAGTGTACAAATCAGTCCTCTCAGCTACGTGCTTTTGGAATTAAATCCTTAAGGATGTCAAACAAACAAACACACCCAAACCCTCAACCCCCAAAACAAAAATAACCAACCAACCAACCAAACAAACAAAAAACCCCTAACAAACCTTACCCAGCAGTAATTATTTCAGGGACAAAGAAAAACTATGGGAGTGCACACACCCCCTTCACAGAGCAACTCGGTCTTCCGGAGACTCTTGCAGTTCTATTTATCAGGTTCTTCTAAGCCTCTGTGTTGGTTCTTAAACTTTTAGAATTACCGTGATTTTAAACCTAAATTACTGTAATTCTGAACAAAACGTAATACCCATTTTTGCATTAAATGATTTGGAAACGCAGTAGTTTGGCGGTAACCAGAAGGATCATGAAAACAAAATCAGAGGTATACTTGGGGAGAAAGGGATTTAAAAAAAAAGAGGAAAAAAGTATTTTCGGCCTGTTTGGTAGCTCTGGTTCCACTTTCCTGGTGTGTTGCTCTAACCCAGTGAAGAGTTTGTGCCATTCGAAGGCAAGGGGTTAAGAACGCAGTGTCAGTGCCTGCCAAGTAAAGCGCCTGTGGTGGGTTATTCCTGTTGGTGGGCTCGGGGCAGCGGGGTTGAGCAGTCGCCTCTGTGCACCTTAGTGGAAGCCCCACATAAGGACGGGTCTGGGCGGCGGTGGTCTGCCGCTGCCGCTGTGCTCTCGGGGTTTCCCCACCCGTAACTGCCGGGAGAGAGTAAACACTGTGAGCTTCAGACACTTGTAGTTCTAGACCCCCCCTTTCGGCACAACCGCGGCGCTGAGTTTAGGGGAAGCACTGGCAACTGCTTGCTGAAGGAGCCGTCGTGAGCCGTTGTAACTCCCGGCCAGGTTTTGGTTACAACCCTCCAGGGGCGGGGCTTCGCGCTGCCGCCGCGCGCCGGGGGGCGGGGGCGGGGCTTGCCGCCGGCGGAGGGCGTGGCCGCGCGGGCCTGCCCCTGGGCTGAGCTGCGTAGCGGGTGCGGAGGGCGGACGCCGGCGGCGGGCGGGGGGGCCTTGGGAGCTGATGTAGGGGGACCGGATAACCACTGACGCTGCCCGGGGGTCCCGAGGGCCTGGGACCCTCCTTGGGAGGCGGCTCCAGGCGGGGCGGGCGTAGCTGGGAGCGAATGGCGGCTCGGCCGGGGCTCGGGAGCATGCGTGCGCGCGCGTGCCGCTCAGAGGCCGCCCTGCTGCCTCCTCGTCCCGCAAACGCAGAGCGGGACCCCGGCGCCTCTTGCAGACCGCGGCCCCGATTCCGGAGCCGACCCGCCGCAACCCTCTCCAAAGGGAACCGCTGCGACCCCAAGTCGAGGCCGGGAGGGCGCGCTGTGGGGACGCGCTGGCCCCTGCCTGCAAGTGTTGGACTGGTGGTGGGAGTTTCTAAGGCTTGAGCCTCAGGGTTTTAAAACACGTGTCTGTCTCTGTCCTTTTCACTTTTAGGGTTTTGGCCAAATTGGGCGAGGGCACACACTATCCACTTACCCCTTCTCACCGAGGAAGAGCGGGAGAAAGGGTAAGTAAGGAATGAGCAGGGATGGAGGGAGCTAGGACTGTCCGGAGACAGAGCAGAGGACACAAGGTCTGGACCCTGGGCTGTCCCCAGGAGACCTTGGGCCCAATTCCTTGTTTTCATCAGGAGCCTGAGGCCCACCTTCAAGGGTCACATTCGCCAAGCTGAAGGACTTTTTCAGGGTTACAGACAAAGGTAGAGTTGGCTGCAAGTTTGCCCTTGCCCTTGACTCCCTCGGAACATTGGACTTGTACCTCTCAGCTTTGACTAATCCCTAGGATTGTACTAGTAAAGAATCCTGGTCCTCCTTGGTAATTCATGGGAAACACTCCCAAGGATCTTGATGTTTTAAAAGGGGACTCCTGTAAAAATTCTTGATGACCCCAAAGTATAAAGTTAATAGCAGTATCACATGTGTTGAAACTTCTTTTGGGATCTTCTTTCGAGCTTATAGAGAAAGGTGTTTTGGGGAGGAAGGCCTTTTTCTCTCGACTTTTTGCTCTGATACCCTCTCACCAGCATTCTGTTCATTTCTGAAAAGTTGCCACACAACACATGGAAGTGAAGGGTCGCTGTGATTTCGGGGTGTTCTCTTTCATTGGTCTTTTCCTGGGAATTTCCATTCCTCTCCACCCCATTGCTGCCCACTCCTCTCCCACGGGCGAAATGAAGCCCAGCCCCTCCCTTGTACGGGAACATACAAACAATTGCTTTGAATTAAAGTTCAGGTTGGTCCCAAGGACGAACAGGGAAGACCGCACTCGGATATTTATGCAGGAGAACGGGAACTGCCCCCTGATCCTGACATTGGCCACCTGTGGCCTGAGCCTGCCTTTTTATTTGTTTGAATCAAGTGGCAGGTGACTGACCACCTAATTTACTTTTTGAAAACCCAGGAAATAGCTGTTTGTTGATGATGGGTTCATTCACTGATTCAGTAGGTATTTATTTCCCTGTTGATATAAGTGGATTGATAGAATGATGTTGGAGATGGCTATTTTGGGTCAGGCCTTCGCCAGTTTTCTGTGGATTTTCTGAATAGCTTAGTGTTAATGCCCAAGACCGTCCCTATACCGCCGATCATTTGGTGTGTGGGCCTGTAGAGTGTCGTGGGAGAATGGTGTTATTTTTCTGACTCTCCGGTTGTCTCAGTAATAAACTTTCAAAGCTGACTGACCATGGTGATTTATGTCCTGTAATGAATAGTGTAGTCATTCCCAGCGCAATGAACGTATTGCACCAGTATCATAATTAGGTGAGGGTAGTTCTTTGAATTGTTCCATACAAATGACCTAAGGTTAAGAAGCTTGCAGAGTGTTAGGGAAGCAAACCCTGAAGTTCACGTGTGTGGGTCACTGTGCATTGAACCTCATTTTTTATCGAAGTGAAAAAAGTGTCTTTCTGGTTACAAAGGTTAAAAAAGTTATTTAAAATTACATCTTGCAAGGATATAAAAGGTAGAAAGTGAGTCTCCTCTGGACTCCCCATGCTCACTGTCAACAAGTTGTGTTTATTCCTTCAACTTTTTGTTTTGTAATTATATATTACTATTTGGCAAAATTCTAAATTTCTGCCTTTTTTTCTCTCCATATTTTGTTGGCTATTTACCACCATTCCTGTTTCACGCCCAGGCCTCCACGGAGAAGTAGCCTGCCTTTTACGTATAGTCTTTTCGATGTGGGCTTGATTCCTGGGCTCTGATTTTGTTAGCTCTGCCAGTTAAAACTTTGCTGCTCCTTCACTTGTCATCTGTCAAAACAGAGTGATGAGTATATTAAAACGAATGTGTGAAAAAAGCAGTGACTGGCCCCGCTGATTTCCTTCTTTGATCCTGTCTCTGGTCGCCCATCCCTTTCTGATGACTCTCCCTGTGATGGGGAAAAGCGATCTACTATTTAACTTTCCTACAGGCGCTAAGCCTCCTGGATGTTTGCCTTTTCACAGCGACCGCCTGTCATACCCAATCCTGGGGTTCCTGGGGCAAGGACTGACGCCTGATGTGCCTCAGACTCCCCCTGTCGGGTCATTCCACAGCCCTGCCTGCGTGCAGGGGGCCAGCTTGAAAACTGAAGGGACAGGGACAGAGTAGTGAAAAAAGCCCTGAGTTTCTAGAACGTGGTGGAAAATCCCTGATGTGGTGCCCAGAGCGAGAACGACATGCCGCTGTATTGAGCTGGGCGCTCAGAGCTGGGATGTCTATTCCAGAAATGTCTGTGGCGTATAAGAATCATCATAATAAACATGCTGATGCTTCCTGTCTGAACTGTCATGATTTTGCCAAGGTGCGGGTTTAATAACACGGCAAAGCTGAGTATTTGGTGTTGCTGCTGCTGCTGCTCTGGAAGCCAAGAAGACAGGTCCACAGACCTCTGATTTCACACTAGAAGTCTGGCTGCGCTTGGTGAAGGAGTACCCTTTGTCAGTAGATTATAGGGTTACCAGCTGTCCTCGCCTGGTGTCTTGCACTTCTATCATACATCCCTGTCTGTAGGATTCAATATGTTTTATTCAAATGACAGCCACTGTAAATGAGCACCTGGTCAGAAACGCACGTGTCCCACAGGTGTCTTCCAGTGGCGTTGTTCTTGCAAGTTAAGGTGGAGTAGTTTCTTTTCTTGATGTTTTTTGTTTTGTTTTTGTTTTTTGGTGGAAGGAAAATATTTTTAAAGAAAAGCCTCATTGAAGGAACCTTTGTATTCCAAAAACTTATTTCCAAGTCCATTTTTTTGTTTGTAATGTTGATCAGGGTAATTATAGGGATACCATAACAAGCAGCAGTTAGCTTTCTAGGGCAGGACCCCCAAGCTTTTTAACTTGCTGTGTGCCCGCGAGGTGGGAGTGGCCCAGCAGACTAACCGGCATGCACAGCAGCATGTGGGCGAATAACCTGTTCTGAATTCCAACCTGGAGTGGCTTGGCCACACGCCCTCCACACTGAGGGCACCAGGGCCATTGAAATGCTCTGGAGGCTGTCATTCCTGGGCGGGCTGTGTCACTACTTAGCTGTATGGTCTCGGGCCCATATTCCTCCGCTGTGTAATGGGGCTGTTACTTATGATCCCGGTTAGACTGAGTGTAGCGTAGCACGGTATCGGGGACACAATAAGACCTCTGTAGTTAGAAGTTTCGTTTTCTTTCCTCTAGGCCCTTAGCCCAAGAGCAAGACTCCCCATCTCCTACAGCCCAGGCAGGCCGGGGCTGGGGGCGCCAACCTAGGGGAATGCCCCGTGGACTCGGGGATTTGGTTGTGGGGACTGGGAAAGGGTATGAGAGTAAGGACGAAGGGGAGGAGGGGTGGGCGGAGAGAGAGGTGACAGTGTTTTCTCAGCGCATGGACATAGGTCGCTGAATTACTTGTCTCAGGGAAAGAACTGCCTTTATCTCTGGCCTTTCGGGCTGGTCTTTTGTCAGGTTCTCTGCTGGAGACTCTGCCCTCCTTATTGCCTGCGTAGTCCAACGATCAATTTTTCTCTTTATCACTTTGGTACTGCCTGATTAACGGTGTAATTGATTTTTTTTTTTTTTTAATGGGTGGGACATAGTAATAGATGTCTGTATTTCATTAGGATCTGTTTTTTTTCCCCTGTACTCAAAGTCCAGTGGATATCATCTTATCCTTTCATTGGCCTATAGTTCATTCATTCCTCTTTTAAAAAAAATTTTGTTTTACGATATGCTGTGTGCATCGAACTAGATATAAAGGTGAAAAATCACCGTCCTTATTGAAGGAGTTACAGCCTAGTAGAATTTATAGTCTAGTAGAACAATAGGCGCCTCTGCCGAATCGTGTGCGATTCGCCGTTCGGAGATACACGGGGGAAGGGAGGCTCACAGGGGTTCTTGGTCCCTGGTGGAAACGCCAGGGAAGGGCTTCAGCAGCGGTTGTGTTTGAGCTGCGTCTCAAGAGCTGAGCAGGCGGAGCAGGCGGGGCAGGCGGGCAAGGAGCAGAGGGCACTTCCAGGTGGGGCCAGTGGCCTGAGGGATTGGTATTCTGGGTGCAGCGCGTGTTCTGGGAACTACGTGTAGGTCAGTGAAATTAGAGTGTGGAGGGCACAGTCAGGAGGGGAAGGAGGTGGGTAGCGGATTCGGGGCCACTTTCTGTCCCACCGAAGCCTGGTGCGTGACAGCCGAGGTCACTGACGCAGAGTGCTGGGTAGGCTGCCGGTGGAGTGGGGCGGGGGGTGGGACGGTGCAGGATTGGAGGCCAGAGCGGACAGGGCATTAGCCCGGATGACGGGCCGTTGAGAGCTCAGACAAGGGGCGAGTTGTGCAGACACTCAGGAGCGAGAAGGTTTAGGAGGGATGTGAGAGGAGGGAAAACTGGCTGGTCTTCGTGGCCGAATGTAAAAGGAGTGGGAGAGTGGGGACGTGAGAGTGAGGCTCAGGTTCCTGGGTAGTGAGAGGAGGGGGAAGAGGAAGCAGGTCTGACCGGGGGAGCCGGTGAGCTCAGGGGTGGGCGCGCTGCGCTGGACGGGCTGCGGGGTGTCGCTGGCGGGCAGGAGGGGTCTAGGAGGCTGGTGGCCCCGGGTTGGTGAGTCACTGGAGATGGGCGGGCGGGAGGTGCAGGTGTCCGAGGGCGGGCACTGGAGAGCTGGGGAACGGGAGGGGGACGAGGCGCAGAAGTGCTCAGGGGCCGCCCAGAAGGGGAAGGGAAAGGGGCTAAAGGTAGGGCTTAGGGAACACTGAAACTAGAGCGAAAAACCGAGAGAAGAGATGGAAGGAGGCTGACGGGGTCCGCCAGAGAGCCTGGGTGAACGGTGAAATCAAACGTTTCAGGCAACGGTAGAGTTGGAAGAAGTAGAGCCCAGTGAAAAATGCAAGGCTCCGGCCCTGGCTGGTGTGGCAGAATGAAGGGAAACGAGAAGATTTTATGTGGGATCCGACATGCTGCCTTGGCCGCGTGGCTCAGTGGGTCGGAGTGTTGTCTGTACATCAGAAGGTTGTGGGTTTTATTCCTGGTCAGGGCACACACGTAGTTTGTGGGTTCGATCCTCTCTGGGGCG